TTGGCTGAGTGACTTTGGGCCAATCGCCAGGAGACGGTGAGTTCTAGTCCCGCCTTAGGCATCAAAGTTGGCTGAGTGACTTTGGGCCAATCACCAGGAGACGGTGAGTTCTAGTCCTGCCTTAGGCATGAAAGCTGGCTGAGTGACTTTGGGCCAATCGCCAGGAGACGGTGAGTTCTAGTCCTGCCTTAGGCATGAAAGCCGGCTGAGTGACTTTGGGCCAATCGCCAGGAGACGGTGAGTTCTGGTCCTACTTTAGGCATGAAAGCTGGCTGGATGACTTTGAATGAATCACCAGGAGATGGTGAGTTCTAGTCCCTTCTTAGGCACGGAAGCCTGCTGGGTGACTTTGGGCCAGTCCTTCTCTCTCTCTCTCTCTGCCCAAACACAACTCACAGGGTTGTTGTGAGGAAAAGAGGAACAGGAAGGTGTGTTGGGATGTATTTGCCACCTTATTTCTGAAAATAATAAAGGCAGTTTAAAAATAAAATAAAAGTTTGCTGCTATGCCTGCCCAGGTCATTTTTTAATCAAATGGGAAAAAAACCCTAATTATAACGCCCCCACCCATTTATTTTTAGCTTCTCTGCCATTCCCATCAAGATGCTTTCACCCCTGTCTTTATCTCCATTCGTAACCAAACTATTTAATTTTTAATTTAATTTAAATGGCTCCATTTTCTCAATCAAGTTGCTTTTCATATGCATGTTACCCTCGCTCTCGAAGATTTCTGCATGGCACATCTGGAGACAGCCAGGGCTTCGGCTGGGGATGAGGGGTGTTCTTGCTAAGCACATCTGGAAAGTGCCGGGGGGGTGGAGAACTCAGCAGGGGATGATGGGAGTTCTAGGCTAACACATCTGGAGATGCCAGGCGGGTGGAGAACTGAGCTGGGGATGATGGGTTTCATTGCCCAGCACATCTGGAAAGTGCCAGGAGATGAAGAACTCAGCTGGGGATGATGGGAGTTCTAGGCTAGCTCATTTGGAGAGTGCCAGGGGATGGCGAGTTCAGGTTGGGAATGATGGGCATTGCATCCAACACATCTTGGAGTGCCAGGAGATGGGAGAGTTCAGGCTGATGGGAGTTCTAGCCTATAACCGGGAGAGGATGGAGAGTTCAGGACTGAGGATGATGGGCACCGTAGCCCTCACATCTGGAGGGCTAGGAAATGGGAGAGGATGATGGGAGTCCTAGCCTATAACCTGGAGACTACCAGAGGATGAAGAATTCAGGCTGAGGATGATGGGCACTGTCGCCTATACACCTGGAGTGCCAGGAGAGTTGAGGCTGAGGATGATGGGAGTCCTAGCCTATAACCTGGAGACTACCAGAGGATGGCGAGGATGATGGGCACTGCAGCCTACACACCTGGAGTGCTAGGAAATGGGAGAGGATGATGGGAGTCCTAGCCTATAACCTGGAGACTACCAGAGGATGAAGAATTCAGGCTGAGGATGATGGGCACTGTCGCCTATACACCTGGAGTGCCAGGAGAGTTGAGGCTGAGGATGATGGGAGTCCTAGCCTATAACCTGGAGACTACCAGAGGATGGCGAGGATGATGGGCACTGCAGCCTACACACCTGGAGTGCTAGGAAATGGGAGAGGATGATGGGAGTCCTAGCCTATAACCTGGAGACTACCAGAGGATGAAGAATTCAGGCCGAGGATGATGGGCACTGTCGCCTATACACCTGGAGTGCCAGGAGAGTTGAGGCTGAAGGGAATTTAAGACCAGGGGCATCTGGGGAATCCCGGCTGGGGATCATGGGCTTTTTAAAACCCATCTCACTTGGGTTGACAATTCCACCTTGGAAAGAAGCAGCTCTGGATGGGGGACGATGGGATCTTCAATCCAAGAAGCAGGGGATGATGGAACCAGAGATCCAGCAACATTCTTGGGGGGGTGGGGGGGGAGAACCAAGTTGGGAAGGGGGGGGCAATTACCTCTTAATAGACATTTCACAACCCCTCCCCCACCACCAAAAAAAGGGGGGGAGGCACAAAACAGGGGGGGACCATAAAAACTGGGGGAACCCCTCCCCAAATTTCAACACAGCCCCTCCCCCCTCCATGGGGGGGGCTGTTCCCCCCCTTTTTTTCCTTTCAAATCTCCCCTCCCCCACTTCCTGGTCGGGGCCTCCTCCCCCCCAAAAGAGCCCCCCCCCACCCGCCCCCCCCTTTCCCTGAGGCGACCCAACCCCTCCCCCCCTTTTGTGCTTTAAATAAACCCCTCAGGCGGCCCCCCCCTCCTCGCCCCTCCCCCCCCCTCCTCGCCGGGACAAATAAAAGAGCCAAAAGAAGAGCCGCCGCCGCTTCCTTACCGCCCACCCGGTACATATTAGCCGCCATGGCGCTCGGCGTCCCTTTCCCGGCTGCCTCGGCCGCCTCAGCAACTCCGGGCCCGGCCGCTCTTCATCGCCTCCCGCCGCCGCCGCCTCAGCCGCCTCAGTCGCTCCCCCTCACGCAGCCTGGGCCGGCCCTTCGGCACTTTCCGGAAGCGCTCGGGCATTTCCGGTCGGGCTTCGTGTGGTGAGAAGCGGCAGGCCAATCGGCAGGGAGAGTCTCGGGCTTTTCCGGAAGTTTCACCCGGAGGGCGGGGACAACGTCCGAGTGGAGACGAAGACAACTCGTTGGGCCACTTCGTGTAGAAGGGCTTTTTTTTTTTTCCTCTCTTCTCCTCCTCCTCCGACGTATCGAACTTCGGGTGGATGGGCGGGGCTTCGGAGGAAGAGCGGGCTCCTTCGGGCTTTTCCGCCGATCTTCGGGCCGGGAGGGTAGAATCGAGCGCTTTCGGCCAACCTCGGGTCTTTTTTCCGGAATGGGAAGTTAACTCTTTCCTACCCGCAGGAGGACTTCCCTATTTTTTTTAAAGGGGTCTCGCAACTGTCAAGTGGGAAGCGTGCAATCAAGGCGCTGATGAGCACGTGCGTACGTGCCATAGGCGGGATAGCATTTGGGAACCCTATGAAATGATTTGTGATCGTTTTAAGGCGAGTGGTTTCTAAACATTAGGGATCTTAAGAGCGGGTGGACTTCAACTCCCAGAAACCCCCAGCCTTCATGCCTTCAATTCTGGGAGTTGAAGTCCACCCCTCTTAAAGCATGCTGGCTGGGGGATTCTGGGAGTTGAAGTCCACCCCTCTTAAAGCATGCTGGCTGGGGGATTCTGGGAATTGAAGTCCACCCGTGTGAAAGCATGCTGGCTGGGGGATTCTGGGAGTTGAAGTCCACCTGTCTTAAAGCATGCTGGCTGGGGGATTCTGGGAGTTGAAGTCCATCCACCTTAAAGCATGCTGGCTGGGGGATTCTGGGAGTTGAAGTCCATCCATCTTAAAGCATGCTGGTTGGGGGATTCTGGGAGTTGAAGTCCACCCGTCTTAAAGCATGCTGCCTGGGGGATTCTGGGAGTTGAAGTCCATCCATCTTAAAGCATGCTGGTTGGGGAATTCTGGGAACTGAAGTCCACCCGTCTTAAAGCATGCTGCCTGGGGGATTCTGGGAGTTGAAGTCCACCTGTCTTAAAGCATGCTGGCTGGAGGATTCTGGGAGTTGAAGTCCACCCGTGTTAAAGCATGCTGGCTGGGGGATTCTGGGAGTTGAAGTCCACCCGTCTTAAAGCATGCTGGCTGGAGGATTCTGGGAGTTGAAGTCCACCCGTGTTAAAGCATGCTGGCTGAGGGATTCTGGGAGTTGAAGTCCATCCAACTTAAAGCATGCCGGCTGGGGGATTCTGGGAGTTGAAGTCCACCCGTCTTAAAGCATGCTGGCTGGGGGATTCTGGGAGTTGAAGTCCACCTGTGTTAAAGCATGCTGGCTGAGGGATTCTGGGAGTTGAAATCCACCTGTCTTAAAGCATGCTGGCTGGAGGATTCTGGGAGTTGAAGTCCACCCGTGTGAAAGCATGCTGGCTGGAGGATTCTGGGAGTTGAAGTCCACCCGTCTTAAAGCATGCTGGCTGGAGGATTCTGGAGTTGAAGTCCACCTGTGTTAAAGCATGCTGGCTGAGGGATTCTGGGAGTTGAAATCCACCTGTCTTAAAGCATGCTGGCTGGAGGATTCTGGGAGTTGAAGTCCACCCGTGTGAAAGCATGCTGGCTGGAGGATTCTGGGAGTTGAAGTCCACCCGTCTTAAAGCATGCTGGCTGGGGGATTCTGGGAGTTGAAGTCCACCTGTGTTAAAGCATGCTGGCTGAGGGATTCTGGGAGTTGAAATCCACCTGTCTTAAAGCATGCTGGCTGGAGGATTCTGGGAGTTGAAGTCCACCCGTGTTAAAGCATGCTGGCTGGGGGATTCTGGGAGTTGAAGTCCATCCGTCTTAAAGCATGCTGGCTGGAGGATTCTGGGAGTTGAAGTCCACCTGTGTTAAAGCATGCTGGCTGAGGGATTCTGGGAGTTGAAGTCCACCCGTCTTAAAGCATGCTGGCTGGAGGATTCTGGGAGTTGAAGTCCACCTGTCTTAAAGCATGCTGGCTGGGGGATTCTGGGAGTTGAAGTCCACCTGTGTTAAAGCATGCTGGCTGAGGGATTCTGGGAGTTGAAATCCACCTGTCTTAAAGTATGCTGGCTGGAGGATTCTGGGAGTTGAAGTCCACCCGTGTGAAAGCATGCTGGCTGGAGGATTCTGGGAGTTGAAGTCCACCCGTGTTAAAGCATGCTGGCTGGGGAATTCTGGGAACTGAAGTCCACCCCTCTTAAAGTTGCTATGGCTGAGAAACGCTGATGTGAACAAAAGGACGAATTCGGAATATGGACTACATTTCCTCAGGATCCCTCAGTCATGGCCATAGTGACCTGCTTTACGACCGCCACGACTTAACCATTGTAAGTTGAGGACTACCTGCATATGAACAACACAGGTCAATGTTTTGGAATGGGAAGTAAATTTTGGCAGAAAATCTCCATGTAACTCAAAACCGGTCACACTAAAAGGGTTAGATTTGGTGATCTTTGCCCTTGCCAAACCCAGATGATTCAGGATTAAAAAAGAGAAAGGCTTATTAGGATTTGAGATGCAAACGTTTATTTCTCAAATATCAAAACCTTCCTTTTTATGCGCCTATTTACACATCGGACCCAGCCAGGTCCAAAATGATAGGAAAAACAGAAACAGAGTGTTTTTTTTTAATTCATAAAACATAAAACAACAATGCTTCCTAACCTTTTTCTTTCTAAAACCCCAAACTATTTTCGGAGTTCAACAAACATTTTCATTTTTTGCACATTTATGAAAGCCGGAATGGAAAAATGCTTCTTCACGGAGGTAAAGCACTTGGATATTTAAATTCTATTTATTTCTTCCATTTCTGTGAAGGGCCCATGGCCTCCTCACAGGAGATTCATCCTGAATTTACTAACCAAAAGGATCCCAAATGATCCTTTTCTTTTATTCAAATAACAATTTGCACTGATGGCTTGACATGAGTTTCATCGTTCCTTCCGCAAATCCATTAATGGGTTTGTGCCTTGCTACCAAACCCCCCCCCCAAAAAAACCCCACATTTACTCAATTTTAGCTAATTCACCAGATTTGGGAAGCAGTGCTATATAAAGGTAATCCATGATTTATAACAATTCTGTTCGTTTAGCATCCGTTCGGAGTTACGATCCTGAAAAAAATGATTTATGACCGTTTTTCGCACTTATGACCGTTGGGTCATTCCCCAGAGTCACGTGATCCAACTGCATGCAGCTTTCTGACGGTCAAAGCGTCCCGGGGATCGCTTGATCGTCGTTGGTGATCTTCCCAGCTGGCTTCCCAACCAGCAAAGTCAAGGAAGAAGTCCAGGGAAGATCCAACGAGAAAGTTGGCTTCCAGGCCTGACACCGGATTTGTTTAATGTCCTCCTGTTTCACTTAAGGACCTCGGTGATTTATTTAACCGCCGCGGCGAAAAGGTCATGAAACCGGGCGCCCCTCGCTGAACAACGATGGGGGGGGAAGCCAGATCTTCTTAAACGACGATGCGACTTACCGAACGACGGCAGCAATTTCGCCATAACACCCGTGGCATTAAAAAAAAAAAAAAAATTGTTTAAAAAAAAGGTTGCAAAAAGCGCCTTGCTTAGTATCGGACATTCGCGCCCCAGATCGGGTCATAAGTCGAGGACTACCTGAAACGGGGATAAAGCAAGCGATCCAGTTTGCCCATTTTTCTCTTAGGCTTTGAAAATCCAGAACTTTTGAGGCCTGTACAGAGCAAAAGCCTGGAGGCAAATTTTGGCTCTTTTTTTTTACTTTAGCCTGTCTGTCTGGTCTCAGCAGCCTCTCCATCCTTCCCAGCCTCACCAGGTGCTGCCTTTTCGACGCACCACGTTTCACGCAACCACGTTTTATGGCGCGCGGCGGGTTGTGTTCGGCCTGGCGCATCCGACCACGCTTCGCTGCGTGTCCCGTCACCTTGGGTTAATAAGCAAACGCCGACGCGGTTAGCAAATGAAAATTCTCCGGCGAAGCGGAAGGCGGAAAGGAAGCCGAACACCGGTCCCTCCCCCAAAAAATAAAAAATAAAAGGGATCCTCCGATCACCAACGCTGGAGATCACTTCGAGCATTTCCCCATCCGCGAGGATTCGGTCACCATCCTGGAAATTTTTACGTCAGGATTTCGGCAGCTTCAGGTGCTGGCCCCGGCTTCGTACGAGGAAACAGAGGAGAGGGAGCGGCTGGCCGGAGGGCTGCCCCCCAGCATCCGCCATTGGAAGATGCTCGTGTCCTTGCCCCCCATGGAAATGAGATGGCCGTCGTCATGGGTGAAGCGAACATTCGTGACGTGGCTGCCGTGACCGGTATAGACATGGCTAGGAGCCTGTGGAAGAACGGGGACGAAGAGGTTGTAGAAAAAAAAAAAAAGGCCTTTAAAAGCCTCTGATGATCCCAGCTGAGTTGCCTGATCGGCAGAGGCTTTTTTTTAAAAAAAAAACAACACATTTTTTCCACAACCTTTTCAGCCAAAGAGGTTGTAAAAAAAAAAAAATGCTTTTAAAAGCCTCTGCCGATCAGGCAACTCAGCTGGGATCGTCAGAGGCTTTTAAAAGAATTTTTTTAACCACCTCTTCAGCCGAAAAATATTTATTAATTCTTTACCCCAGGAAGGAAGGGTGCCCTTCTTCCTTACCGCCCTCCCTCCCTCCTACCTTGGGCTTGGCACACGGGTATTGGAAGAGATGCACTTTGCAAAAATCGTCAGCGACGGCCACCACCCGCTCGTGGTGAGACCGGCACAGGGAGTTGATATCCGTGCCATCCGAGCCGTCGGGCCAAACCCCTGGGTTAGAGAAGAAAGAGGAAAAAGAAAAGGAAGGTTTTAATATGACGGAATCGATTCGATTTGTGATGCCTGCCCCATTCCGGGAGATTTCTGGGCCGCTGACAAAACCCCAACCGCCATCGAAACGATGAAAATAGTTACCGAAAACATGGAAACCCAGCACGCAGGTGTACGAGGCCCACTCTCGGTCCCTGTTGTCAAACCGATTCCGTACTAGCTTGCAACCTTTGGCCACCTCCCCTGAAAGCAAATCGCTTCTTCTATTATTATTATTATTATTATTATTATTATTATTATTATTATTATTATTTGGTTGGTTTCTATCCCGCCTTCATTTTTATTTTATTTTTTACAAATCACTCAAGGTGCTAGACCTCCCTAAGGCACTTCCCTCCTCCTGTTTTCCCCACAACAACAACACTGTGTGGTGGGCTGGCTGAGAGGGAGGGACTGCTCCAAGGACACCCAGCCAACTTTCGTGCCTGAGGCGGAACTAGAACTCCCAGTCTCCTGGTGATTGGTCCAAAGTCACCAGCTGGCTTTTGTAGCTAAAGTGAGACTAGAACTCCAAGTCTCCTAGTGATTGGCCCAAGTCACCTAGCTGACTTTTGCAGCTAAATTGGCACTAGAACTCCCAGTCTCCTGCTGATTGGCCCAAGTCACCTAGCTAACTTTTGTAGCTAAAATGGCACTAGAACTCCCAAGTCTCCTGGTGACTGGCCCAAAGTCACCTAGTTGACTTTTGTAGCTAAATTGGCACTAGAACTCCCAGTCTCCTGGTGATTGGTCACCTAGCTGACTTTTGTAGCTAAATTGGCACTAGAACTCCCAGTCTCCTGGTGATTGGCCCAAGTCACCTAGCTGACTTTTGTAGCTAAATTGGCACTAGAAATCCCAAGTCTCCTGGTGACTGGCCCAGTCACCTAGTTGACTTTTGTAGCTAAATTGGCACTAGAACTCCCAGTCTCCTGGTGATTGGTCACCTAGCTGACTTTTGTAGCTAAATTGGCACTAGAACTCCCAGTCTCCTGCTGATTGGCCCAAGTCACCTAGCTAACTTTTGTAGCTAAATTGGCACTAGAAATCCCAAGTCTCCTGGTGACTGGCCCAGTCACCTAGTTGACTTTTGTAGCTAAATTGGCACTAGAACTCCCAGTCTCCTGGTGATTGGTCACCTAGCTGACTTTTGTAGCTAAATTGGCACTAGAACTCCCAGTCTCCTGGTGATTGGCCCAAGTCACCTAGCTGACTTTTGCAGCTAAATTGGCACTAAAACTCCCAAGTCTCCTGGTGATTGGCCCAAAGTCACCCAGCGAGCTTTTATGCCTAGAGTGGGACTAGAACTCACCATTGCCTGGTTTCTAGGTAATGGTGCCTTCCACACTAGATCAAACTCTCTCGGTCTTCATGTTTGTGACAAAAAAAAAGCCAGCAGCTGCCTTTTAAAAAGTAAACTTACAATACAAGATTTCATAATCTCCAGAATTGGACATGATGAATTTCCCATCCTTGGACCAATCCAGATGCGTGATGAAACTAGAGTGTCCCTGAAGTGAGAGAAAAAAAAAACAAACCAACCTTTTATTGTGACTTTATTTGAAGAGATCGATTATCCGATAACTTTCAGAGGGGCAAGACAAGAACGGAGAAGAAGAAAGCAGAATCGGGCCGAAGGACCGAAATGCCAAAAAAAAAGAAAAATTACAGTAGAAACACGTTTTTTCAAATGTTTATGGCTGTTTTACTAAACTTTAATTCTCCTTTCGGGCTAAGATGGAACGAAGATTTTCTCTTACGTCAATGGAATAGTTTATTTTCTTTAATCTGGTGCTTTGAATGGGCTTTTTTTGAATTGCTTTTTATACAAACCTCCGTGTGTTTTTAATGCTTGTCCAGAGTGGCCCAGAATTATTTGATTAAGATGAGCAGCCATAATAATTTACAGAATAAATAAACAAAGAAACTTCCAGGAAGAAATTCCTCTTGATATATATTTGTTTCATTCTCCCATCGCCCAAATTTAACCGGATATTCCTTGCCCTTCAAGCTCACCGTGCAGCGGCCAAATCGAGTATATTTATGCTCTTTCTCTTCCACACTATATATATAGATGAAGTTGTCATGGGAACCGATGGCCAAAAACTCTCCATCTAGCATAAAAAAGAGAGAGAGAGAGAGAAAAAAAGCCAAGTTTAAAGTAGGAAGGAGAAAAGTCAGCTATTTCCATCAGCAAAGGAATTCTGATTGTTGGCTGCACTGTCAGCCAGATGCTTAGACTGGATTGGGCAATTTTTATCCATGGATTGAACCCTTCCCAAGAATCTGGGATGTGACCATCATTTGCCAGATCAGAAGTGAAGAAAACAGCTAGCCAGCCAATTAATACTAAAGACAGAATCTGATCTCACTCCGTTTCTCTGCTTTTCCTTCACCAACCAAGAAAAACACACTTAAATCCAATTGTAGAGAATATTTGTAGCTCAGGGTTGAACGGTGGGGTGTGTATGTGTGTGTTACTGATGCTCTCAGAGCTTGCTTGTTTTCTTGCAGATGTTATACTACCAAGCTATAGAACATCCTCAGTGCATGGGGGAGTGAAGTGGGCTGGCTGTTTTTATATATATATATATATATGTAGCTTGTCCCACTAGTTTTAGTTCAGATGTAGTTTCTCACACCCAGATAAGCAGGAAACAACACTGGACAAATAATCAAAGAAGAAATAATAGTGGAAGGAAAGAAGGAAGGAAGGAGGGAGGGAGGGAGGAAGGAGAAAGAAAGAGAAAGACTGAATGAAAGAAAGAAAGAAAGAAAGAAAGAAAGAAAGAAAGAAAGAAAGAGAAAGAAAGAAAAGATATGCGGGCGGGAGGAAGGGAGGAAGGAAGAAAGTAGAAAGAAAGAAAGAAAAAAGGAAAGAAAGAAAGAAAGACAGGAGGGAGGGAGGGAGGAAGGAAGAAAGAAAAAGAAAGGAAGGAAGGAAGGAAGGAAGAAAAAGAAAGAAAGAAAGAAAAAAAAAAGACGGGAGGGAGGGAGGAAGGAAGGAGAAAGAAATAGAAAGAAAGATGGGAGGGAGGGAGGAAGAAAGAAAGAAAAGAAAGAAAGAAAGAAAGAGAAAGAAAGAAAGAAAGACAGGAGGGAGGGAGGGAGGGAGGAGAAAGAAAGAAAGAAAGAAAGATGGGTGAGAGGGAGGGAGGGAGGAAGGAAGGAGAAAGAGAAAGAAAGAAAGAAAGACAGACAGGCGGAAGGAAGGAAGGAAGGAAGGAAGGAAGGAAGGAAGGAAGGAAGGAAGGACATCCCAAGGCTGCCAGAGAAAGGTATTATATTTAAATAACCAGACCCCTTCACTCCCCCAAGCACTGCTGATGTCACCAAGCCTGGTAATGAAACGTCTGCAGGAAGACAACCAAGCTCAGAAAATACCAAGAACTCAACAAACAGGAAAAGATCAAAAGCAAAGCAGAAAATCTCACCTGGGGAATAACGTACAACAGACAGCTGCTCGTTTCCATCCGTGTAGCTGGACAACACCTGTCGCGTTTCCGTGTCCAGCACCAGCCACCTGAGAGAGATAAAAGGGGTCATTTTATAACTTTGATCTTGCCAAATCTCTCCCCCCCCCCCAAGATTTTAGCAGCTGTGGAAAAAGTGAAATCCATTCCACCGGGGCTGGCACCTCCGCACCCTGCGGGGTAGGACAGAGGAGCTCAGCTTCCAACAGGAAGGGTCACCCGCCCACTGCTGAGCCCCAGGGCAGATGGCCAGGGAGGGGAGGGGAGGGGAGGGGAGGGAGTTACCGTCCAGTGCTGAGTCCCACAGTCACCACTTTCCCACTGGGGTGGAAATCAGCACAGAGTCCTGTTTCCTGAGGAGTGGAAAGAGAGAAGGGGGGGAAGAGAGAAGGGGGAAGAGAGAGAGAGAGACAGAGAGAGAGAGGGAGAGGAGAGAGAGAGGAGAGAGACACAGAGAGGGAGAGAGGGAGGGGGAGAGAGCAGAGAGAGAGGAGAGAGAGTTGAGAGAGAGAGGAGAGAGGGAGAGGAGAGAGACACAGAGAAGGAGAGAGGGAGGGGGAGAGAGCAGAGAGAGGAGAGGAAAGAGAGAGAGGAGAGAGAGAATTGAGAGAGAGAGGAAAGAGGGAGAGGAGAGAGACACAGAGAAGGAGAGAGGGAGGGGGAGAGAGCAGAGAGAGGAGAGAGGGAGAGCAGAGAGAGAGGAAAGAGAGAGAGGAGAGAGAGAATTGAGACAGAGAGGAAAGAGGGAGATGAGAGAGACACAGAGAAGGAGAGAGGGAGGGGGAGAGAGGAGAGAGAGAGTTGAGAGAGAGGAGAGAGGGAGAGCAGAGAGGAGAGAGAGTTGAGAGAGAGAGGAGAGAGGGAGGGGGAGAGAGCAGAGAGAGAGGCGAGAGAGAATTGAGAGAGAGAGGAAAGAGGGAGAGGAGAGAGACACAGAGGGAGAGAGGGAGGGGGAGAGAGCAGAGAGAGAGGAGAGAGAGTTGAGAGAGAGGAGAGAGAGAGGACAGAGACACAGAGAGGGAGAGAGGGAGGGGGAGAGAAGAGAGAGAGTTGAGAGAGGAGAGAGGGAGAGGAGAGAGAGAGGACAGAGACACAGAGGGAGAGAGGGAGGGGGAGAGAGCAGAGAGAGAGGAGAGAGAGAGAGTTGAGAGAGAGAGGAGAGAGAGAGAGGAAAGAGGGAGAGGAGAGAGACACAGAGAGGGAGAGAGGGAGGGGGAGAGAGCAGAGAGAGAGGAGAGAGAGAGAGAGTTGAGAGAGAGAGGAGAGAGAGAGAGGAAAGAGGGAGAGGAGAGAGACACAGAGAGGGAGAGAGGGAGGGGGAGAGAGCAGAGAGAGAGGAGAGAGAGAGTTGAGAGAGAGAGAGGAAAGAGGGAGAGGAGAGAGACACAGAGAGGGAGAGAGGGAGGGGGAGAGAGACAGAGAGAGAGGAGAGAGACGCAAGTAAGTGCAGGGCGCACGCGGAGGCTTGCGGAGGGCAAAAAACTGGCCTACCAGAAGTTCGTAAGTTCGTTTCCGGCCTCCAGAGAGCCTCTGGAGCCTGGGGAGGCCGTTTTCACCCTCCCGGAGGCTCAAGAAATCCCTCCGGAGCCTGAGGAGGGCAAAAACGTCCCCCCACACACACACACCATGGTGCAGGAGGCCAACTAGGCCACGCCCACCATGGCCACGCCCACCCAGCAACCGGGCAGAGAACCCCTTGCTAACATTTTTGAAGCCCACCCCTGCGTACAGTACCTCCAAGGTGAGGCTCCAAGCCATCATATGTTCGCTGCCGTCCCACAGACAGAGTTGTTTGTCGTAGCCACAAGTCACGAAAAGATCCCGGGAGGGGTGAGTCCCCAGACCCCAGAGTTCGTCCGTGTGGCCCTGCAAAGGGAAAGAACGGAGTTGCGGCCGAGAAAGTTTGGCTCGTCTGAAAGAAGAGAAGAATTTGGGGCGACAGGGTGGCGGCATTCCAGTATCTGAGGGGCTGCCCCCAAAGAAGAGAGGGGGTCGAATTATTCTCCAAAGCACCGGAGGGCAGGACAAGCAGCAATGGATGGAAAGTAATCAGAGAGGGAAGCAGCCTGGAATGAAGGAGAAACTTCCTAACAGTGAGGACAATTAGCCAGTGGAACAGCTCGCCACTAGAAATTGTGGGCGCTCCATCACTGGAGGTTTTAAATAAGAGACTGGACAGGCACTTGTTTGGGATTGTATAGGTGCTCCTGCTTGAACAGGGGGCTGGATCTCCAAGGTCCCTCCGAGCCGAGCCTCTTCTCCTCTCCTCTCCTCTCCTCTTCTCTTCTCTCTATTTTCTTTTCTCTTCTATTCTATTTTCTCTTCTATTCTATTGTGAATCCTATTCGATTTTCGATTTTCTATTTTTTATTTTCTGTTTTCTATTCTATTTTCTATTCTATTCTATTCTTATTTTCTCTCTTCTCTTCTTCTCTTCTCTTCTCTTCTCTTCTCTTCTCTTCTCTTCTCTTCTCTTCTCTTCTCTTCTCCTCTCCTCTCCTCTCCTCTCCTCTCCTCTCCTATTCTGAATCCTATTCTATTCTATTCTATTCTATTCTATTCTATTCTATTCTATTCTATTCTATTCTATTCTATTCTATTCTATTCTATTGTTTTCTATTTTCTATTCTATTCTATTTTCTATTCTATTCTTATTTTCTCTTCTCTTCTCTTCTTCTCTTCTCTTCTCCTCTCCTCTCCTATTCTGAATCCTGTTCAATTCTATTCTATTGTTTTCTATTTTCTATTTTCTACTCTATTCTATTTTCTATTCTATTCTTATTTTCTCTCTTCTCTTCTCTTCTCCTCTCCTCTCCTATTCTGAATCCTATTCTATTCTATTCTATTGTTTTCTATTTTCTATTTTCTATTTTCTATTTTCTATTCTATTCTATTCTATTCTATTCTATTCTATTCTATTCTATTCTATTCTATTCTATTCTATCCTATCCTGCTCTAATTCTATTCTATTCTATTCTGCTCTAATCCTATCCTATCCTATCCTATCCTATCCTATCCTATCCTATCCTATCCTATCCTATCCTCTATTTTCTATTCTATTCTATTCTGAATCCTATCCTAAAGTGGGGGGCAGGAGAAGTAGCTAGGAGGAGGGTTGACTTTGGGGCGTCTCTGATCACCTGGATGATGGGTTTGAAGCCCTCGGCCAAACTGCCGCGTAGCAGGGCGTTGCGTGTGGTCCCCACCAAAAGCTCCCCGCTCTCGCCGTTTGCGATGGTGCGCACGGCGCCGAATTGCTCCGGTATCTGAGCCGAAAGTTTAAAAAAAAAAAAATTGAAAATGACAATATGTATAAATGTATGCAAACTCACGACTTTTTTTTTTTTTTTTTTAAACAGATGGACGGGTGCTCCCCTCCCAATCAGCAAAGTGGGCGTTAAAAGTGAGCTGCATCCCATTTGACAGCCCCGATCGCCGTGGTCGTTAAGCGAGTCACTTAAGTGAAGTGAAACCTATGGTCGTTAAGCGAAAATCCAATTTCCCCCTCGGCTTTCCTTGTTGGAAGCCTTTTGGGGAGGTGGCCGATCGTGATTGTATGACCCTGGGATGTTGCAACCATCATATATAGATGGCTGGTTGCTGTTGTGGCAGCAGATTCGGATAGTGAGGAGGTTGGGGAGGAACCTGGGCCAGTCCTGGATCCTGGGGAGGGCTCTGATGAGGGCTCTGCGTCGGAGGCAGAGAGGGAGCCAAGGCCGTCTGACGGTTGTCAGCTGCCTTCGGAGTCGGACATCAGTGAGGCAGAGGAACAGCTAGAGCCGGTTCCCAGTGTGCGTATGGACAGAGTTGCCAGACGAAGGGAACGGCTAAAGAACAAGGGGCGACTCAGGAGTAAAGCCACAGGTGGACGGTGAATGGCCCCTCCCAGAGGGAATAAAAGAGGAGCGAAAGGGGAGTGGAGTTTGCAGGAGGCAATTAGTCCGCTTAATTGGTTCGTGACTCTCAGAGACTCCTTTCCAAGTTTTGAAGATATCGGGCCTAGCAGCTCTCCAAGCCAGATAAAGGCCTGTGACTGAAAATTCTCCCTTGAAAGACTTTGCTGGATGCGAATGAGAGGAATTCACAGTCACTTCATAAAAAGGGTTTTTTTTTTTTTGTTGGGACAAGGAGTCTGCTTCATGCTCTTGGGGGAAGCCTTAGTCAGAACAGTTGCCAAGCAACCAGATTTTGATCACAGGACCGTGGGGGATCCCGCGGCGGTCATAAATACAAAGATCAGCTATAAGTCACATTTTTTCCATGGCGTCGTCACTTCGAACAGCCGCTAAAGAAAAGTTTGTGAGTCAAGGACTGCACGAATTAGCATTCACAACTTTGTTTTCCTAAGCTGGACCACCTCGAAGAGAGATAACCATCCCCCTTATGAGACATCACAAGGCTCTAGTCCTCATTAAGTAAAGATAAAGGTTCCCCTCGCACATAGGTGCTAGTTCGTTCCCAACTCTAGGGGCCGGTGCTCATCTCCGTTTCAAAGCCGAAGAGCCAGACGTCTCCGTGGTCCTGTGGCCGGGATGACTCAACGCCAAAGGCGCACGGAAAATGCTGTTCCCTTCCCACCAAAGGGGGTCCCTATTTTTCTACTTGCATTTTTTTTTTACGTGCTAGGTTGGCAGAAGCTGGGACAAGTCACGGGAGCTCACCCCGTTACGCGGCGCCAGGGATTCGAACCGCTGAACTGCCGACCCTTTCGATCGACAAGCTCGGCGTCTTAGCCGCTGAGCCACCGCGTCCCCTTAGTCCTCATTAGCAAGGGAGAAAATTATTCCAAGCTAACAATCCCCTTCTGAGACTTCACAAGGCTCTAGTCCTCATTAGTGAGGGGGAAAAAATTATGCCAAGCAACTTTTGCTGATGTGCCCCCTCCTGAAGCCTGTTTCCCACGCACACACACACACACACACACTTACCTCCACCTCCTGCAGGACAGTGAGGAGGGGGCTCCACTGAACCAAACGCCGATCCTTACCGCCCCCGCTCAAGACCGAGCCGTCCCGGCACAGACAGAGGCAGAAGATGCTCCCTTCGTGAGCGTGGGTTTGCTTGCTGATCTGATAGGTTTCTGCGAGAGGAAAGACGGAGCCATCGTTGCAACCCGACGTCCGTCTTCCCCAGTCCGGACAAACATCTCTCGGCCTCTCTCCCTCTTTGCCTACCTTTCGCCCCCTTGCCCAAGGTGCGAATGTCGGCCGCTGCCCTGGCCCAGGTCAGGATGTTGCCTTCGGAATCTCCGGTGAGGACATCCCCGTTGGTGTCAAACACGAAGCACTGGATAAACTTGGGTTTCTTGTATTTCTGGGAAAGGGAAACCGAGAGGAGAGGTTGGTCCCACTGAAGGACGAGTCGAACGGACTGGCTAGGGAGCCAGTTTGGTCTCGTGATTTAAGACTAGAAACCAGGAGACGGTGAATTCTAGACCCACCTTAGGAAGGAAAGAAGATTGGATGACTTTGGACCGATCGCCAGGAGATGGTGAGTTCTAGTCCTGCCTTAGGCAGGAAAGTTGACTACTTGACTTTGGACCGATTGCCAGGAGATGGGGAGTTCTAGTTTCGCCTTAGGCATGAAAGCTGGCTGCGGGACTTGAGGCCGATCACCAGGGGACGGTGAATTCTAGTACCACTTTAGGCATGAAAGCTGGTTGGAGAACTTTGGGCCAATCACCATCAGGAGATGGTGGATTCTAGATGTCCTTTAGGCATGACAGCCGATGATGACTTTGGACTAATCGCCAGGAGATGGTGAGTTCTGGTCCTGCCTTAGGCAGGAAAGCCAGCTAGGTGACTTTGGACCGATGATCTGGAGGTGGTGAGTTCTAGTCCCACGTTAGGCATGAAAATCAGTTAGGTGATTTTAGGCCAATCACCAGGAGGCAGGGAATTCTAGTACCACTTTAGGCATGAAAACTGTCTGAGTGAATTTGGACCAAACATCAGGAGATGGTGAATTCTAGTCCCAGTTTAAGTGTGAAAGCTGTCTGGGTGATTTTGCACAATTCACCAGGAGATGGTGAATTCTAGTACCACCTTAGGCATGAAAACTGTCTGAGTGAATCTGGGCCAGTCCAGGAGATGGTGAATTCTAGTCCCAGCTTAAGTGTGAAAGCTGTCTGAGAGAATCTGGGCCAGTCACCAGGAGATGGTGAATTCTAGTACCACCTTAGGCATGAAAGCTGTCTGAGTGAATCTGGGCCAGTCACCAGGAGATGGTGAATTCTAGTACCACCCTAGGCATGAAAGCTGTCTGAGTGAATCTGGGCCAGTCACCAGGAGATGGTGAATTCTAGTACCACCTTAGGCATGAAAACTGTCTGAGTGAATCTGGGCCAGTCACCAGGAGATGGTGAATTCTAGTACCACCTTAGGCATGAAAACTGTCTGAGTGAATCTGGGCCAGTCACCAGGAGATGGTGAATTCTAGTACCACCTTAGGCATGAAAACTGTCTGAGTGAATCTGGGCCAGTCACCAGGAGATGGTGAATTCTAGTACCACCTTAGGCATGAAAGCTGTCTGAGTGAATCTGGGCCAGTCACCAGGAGATGGTGAATTCTAGTACCACCTTAGGCATGAAAGCTGTCTGAGTGAATCTGGGCCAGTCACCAGGAGATGGTGAATTCTAGTCCCAGCTTAAGTGTGAAAGCTGGCTGGATGATTTTTCCACCAATCACCAGGAGATCGTGAATTCTAGTTCCACCTTTGGCATGAAAGCTGAGCGGATGGCGTTGGGCCAATCACCAGGAGACAGTGAGTTCTAGTCCCACCTAAGGCACAAAATCTACATATATGTATAAAATCCAAGATTCTTTTACCCCAAAGATCCCCTGTTTCTTGGTTAAGCTGCTTCCCACCCAGGTCCAGAAATAGATGTGAGATTTTCCAGCGGTGATGATGTTGCTACTGTCTTGGGGATTAAACTCTACCATCAGGACAGATTCGTTGGTGCTCTAGGTAGAAAAAGGAAGAGCAAAAAAAAAAAAAAAACCACCTCTCAGTCTATGGGATCTGTCATGATTCATTCATGTGTGTGAAATGGATCCTGCAGGATCAAACCCCCAAATTCATGTGTGCAGCCGCCATGCCTGCAAATACAAGTCGTCCTCAATTTACGGCTGCAATTGAGCCCAAAATCTCCACTGCTAAGTGAGACAGTTGTTAAGGGAGTCTAGTCCCATTTTACGACCGTTCTTTGCCACAGCGGTTAAGTGGATCACCGCGGTTGTTAAGTTAGTGACACAGTCCATCCCTGAATGCTCCTCCCACTTATTTTTTAAAAAAATCTGCCATAGAAGCCAGCATCACTGCATCCCACATCTGGCTCTTTCCAGCTCTCACCTTGATTTCGGCTTGCTTGGTGCCACGGACGCAATCCCACACGGAGAACATGTGTTCATTGGATTCATCAATCACACACAGGTAGGCGCCCTCGTCCTTGATAGGGGGGAGGGAAAGAATGGCAGGTCAGGTTGGAACGGTGTGCGGAAAAGACCTTGGGGGATGGATGAAAAGATGCTGCCAAGAGAACAGTCAGATAAGAGTCAGCCAAGCCCTCAGCTGCATAATGGGTGAAGAAAGACTCAGAAGGGACCCTCCCTAGTTTCTCAGGATGTAAAGGAGATGGCTGGAATAATTTGTGGGGAAGATCTTGGAAGGTGGGGCTAAGAGAGGCTGCCCAGGAAACAGATAAGAGACAGCTGAGCCCTTGGCTGCATAACGGACAGACTCAGAAGGGACCCTCCCTAGTTTCTCAGGATATAAAGGAGACGGCTGGAATGGTATGTGGGGAAGACCTTGGGAGAGGAGACTAAGATGCTGCCAAGGGAACAGTCAGATAAGAGACAGCTGAGCTTCATAATGGACAAAAGATTCAGAAGGGACCCTCCCTAGTTTCTCAGGATATAAAGGAGACGGCTGGAATGGTATGTGGGGAAGACCTTGGGAGAGGAGACTAAGATGCTGCCAGGGGAACAGTCAGATAAGAGACAGCTGAGCTTCATAATGGACAAAAGATTCAGAAGAGACCCCCCCTAGTTTCCCAGGATGTAAAGGAGAAAGACCTTGGGAGAAGGGTGAAGAGATGCTGCCGAGGGATAAGAGACAGTTAGATAAGAGACAGCCGAGCCCTTGGCTGCATAATGGACAGGCATATGTGAGAAAGACCTTGAGGGATGGATGAAAAGATGCCAAGGGGAAGGGTTAGATAAGAGACGGCTGAACCCTCAGCTGCATAATGGATGGAGAAAGCAGTTCAGAAGGGACCCTCCCTAGTGTCTTCAGATGTAAAGGAGAAAGACCCTGGGAAACTGGACGGAGAAACGCTGCCAAGGGAAAAGTCAGATAAGAGACAGCCGAGCCCTCGGCTGCATAACGGACAGGCTCAGAAGGGACCCTCCCTAGTGTCTCAGGATGTAAAGGCGACGGCTGGAATGGTATGTGGGGAAGACCTTGGGAGAGGAGACTAAGATGCTGCCAAGGGTGCAATCCAATACTGCAAGATGGATTGAGATTTTCTGCAAAAGGGCATCGGAGGAAATAAATAAGATTTATTCTTCCTTTTCGGCTTTCCTTTCAAGGAAGGGAACTGAACACTTACCGCTGTAGAGAAGGCCAGGGAACCGACGCCTCTCTCGAAACTGCCCAGACCGATTTGCTGCAGGGTCAGAAGTGTGACGGAGTCCCAGATGTGAACGAAGGGCTGCAGCGGCTGCAGGAAAGACCCCACCCCACCCCAAAAAAACCCCCAGGTCAGCATTTCTGAGCATCAGCACTGAAACAGTAGAAAAAGAATGTATGTCTATAGCTGGTTTTTGACTTACAACCGTTTCTTTCGTGACTGCTCGAAGTTACGACGGCACTCAGAAAAAGGGACTTACAACCTTCTCCTGACACTTACGACCGTCAATGAAAAAAAGCTGTAAGTAGTCCCCGTTTAGTGACCAAAATTGGGAGCAGCAACAAAGTCATTAAATGAAGTGGGGCTAAGTAAAACTACGGCTGAGCATAGATAATCTTCCTTTGCTAATGGTTGCAAATAGGAAGATTGGGAGTAAAATTGGGTTTTTCATCCCCGTCGTAACTGCAAACGGTCACTGAATGAGGACCAGCTATAGCATTCCTGATTGTGCTTCTTGCCTGGACTACCTCGAAGGGCTAACAGTGGGATTACCTTGCCGTCTTTGTCCACGCCGGCCATCTGCCCCGAGGCCACACGGACTCCGTCAGGATGTACTGCAAGGCTACAAAAAATGTACAAGATTTGCCTGGGGGAACCCTTGTAGACCTTTTCGGATTCTATCCGCCATCGCTTCCCTTTTGAAGGAGAAACCAGGAGACGGGGAGTTCTAGTCCTGCCTTCGGCAAGAAAGCCACCTGGGTGACTTTGGCCAATCATCAGGGAGAAGGTGAGTTCTAGTTCCTCATTAGGCATAAAAGTCAGCCGGGTGATGTTGGGCCACTCACTAGGAGCTTGGGAGTTCTAGTTCCTCATTAGGTATGAAAGTCGGCCGGGTGATGTTGGACTAATCACTAGGAGCCTGGGAGTTCTAGTTCCTCATTAGGCATGAAAGTTGGCCGGGTGATGTTGGGCTAATGACTAGGAGCCTGGGAGTTCTAGTTCCTCATTCGGCATGAAAGCCGGCTGCATGACTTTGGGCCAATCACCAGGAAAGTGGGAGTTCTAGTTCCCCATTAGGCATGAAAGTCGGCTGGGTGATGTTGGGCCAATCACTAGGAGCCTGGGAGTTCTAGTTCCTCATTAGGCATATAAGCCGGCTGGGTGACTTTGGGCCAATCACCAGGAGCCTAGGAGTTCTAGTTCATCATTAGGCATGAAAGTCGGCCAGGTGATGTTGGGCTAATTACTAGGAGCCTGGGAGTTCTAGTTCCTCATTAGGCATGAAAGCCGGCCGGGTGACTTTGGGACAACCACCAGGAGACTGCGAGTTCTAGTCCCGCCTTAGACAGGAAAGATGACTGGGGTGCCTCTGCGCTAATCCCACCCGCTCACCAGCGCACGCAGTCGGTGTGGCGAAGATAGTGGCGCTGGGTGCGCCGCTGGACGTGGTAAAGCACCACCACGCAGGCAATGAAGTACACCAACTCTCCGGATGTTAAGACGTAGAGGTTGGAACGGCAATCACGTCCCCGGTAACCGTAGCTGGAGAGGCGTTAAGAAAAAGAGTGCCCAAAGTATAATCCCTGACCCCAGGGGTGAGGTGGGGTGGGGAATCTACAGGTATTCCTTGACATATGACGAGTCACTTAATGACCGTTGAAAGTATTGACCCACCTCAAAAAGAGGACTTACGACCGGATCTGGAGTTCTGACACTCAGCCCCTCCAGAACCTTGGATCTGGGTTGTAAGTTGTCCTTATTAGGTAGGGTCGTAACTTCGAATGGTCACTAAGCAACCGGTCGTAAGTGGAGGACGACCTGAAGCTTAAAGCTATGCACTTTTGGGAAAGGGGGAAGGACGCCTGTGAAGGATACACCCAGTCCAGTTGCAGCTTCTGAGTTGGCAGCTCCATGCGCAGATCCTCGTAGTTATGGAAGTCGGAAGGGATGTACATGGTTATGGGACGTCCACGCAGAAACATCTTGATGGAAAGTCCTTCTGAAGGGACAGAGGGTGGAAATAATAATAATAATGATGATGATGATGATAATAATAATAATAATAATAATAATAATAAGAAGAAGAAGAAGAAGAAGAAGAAGAAGAAGAAGAAGAAGAAGAAGATCTTTCTCACAGGAAGCTTCAGAAGAAGAAGAAGGAGAAGAAGAAGAGGAAGAAGAAGAAGAAGAAGAAGAAGAAGAAGAAGAAGAAGAAGAAGAAGAAGAAGAAGAAGAAGAAGAAGAAGAAGAAGAAGAAGAAGATCTTTCTCATAGGAAGCTTCAGAAGAAGGAGAAGGAGAAGGAGAAGGAGAAGGAGAAGAAGAAGAAGAAGAAGAAGAAAAAGAAGAAGAAGAAGAAGAAGAAGAAGAAGAAGATCTTTCTCACAGGAAGCTTCAGAAGAAGAAGAAGGAGAAGGAGAAGAAGAAGAAGAAGAAGAAGAAGAAGAAGAAGATCTTTCTCACAGGAAGCTTCAGAAGAAGAAGAAGGAGAAGGAGAAGGAGAAGGAGAAGAAGAAGAAGAAGAAGAAGAAGAAGAAGAAGAAGATCTTTCTCACAGGAAGCTTCAAAAGAAGAAGAAGAAGAAGAAGAAGAAGAAGAAGAAGAAGAAGAAGAAGAAGAAGAAGAAGAAGAAGAAGAAGAAGAAGAAGAAGAAGAAGAAGAAGAAGAAGAAGAAGATTTTTCTCACAGGAAGCTTCAAAACAATTAACCGGTGGAACAACTTGCCTCCAGAAGTTGCGAGCGCTCTGGAAGTTTTTAAGAAGAGATTTCAGACAACCATTTGTCTGAAATCGTACAGGGTTTCCTGCCCGAACAGGGGGCTGGACTAGAAGACCTCCAAGGACCCTTCCAACTCTGTTATTCTGTTATCCTCTTAGAATTAAAGAGGAATTTCCTGACAAGAGCAATTAATTGAGATACGGACGATTCCGGATTTACGTGCTTTCCGCCGGGCCCTCAAGACTTTTTTATTTCAACAAATAAAAAAGGGCTGGCCTAACTTCTCCAATTGTTTCATTTGAATTTGAATTTTAAATGGGGTATTTTATTTTATTATTTTATTTTATTAATTAAATTTGTATACCGCCCTACTCCCGAAGGACTCAGGGCGGTGAACAGCCATAAGATAAAACATATAGATACAAAATTTAAAATAGAGATAAAACAAATTAAATAAATTCGGCTGAACCATTTTAAAACCCCAATAATTTAAAACCAAATTTAAAATTCCCATTTAAAAGAGGAAAATTTAGGTCATTTTAATTGTTGGGCCAAATTGTTTAATCTATTTTAAATTGCTTTTAAATTTCTGTATTCTATGTTTTTTTTACCTTTGGCTGTTCACCGCCCTGAGTCCTTCGGGAGAAGGGCGGTATATAAATTTAAATATAAATAAATAAATAAACAAACTTAGTGAGACGACTTGCTTACAGAAGTTGCTCCATCACTGGAGGTTTCTAAGAAAAGGTTAGGCAGCCATTTGTCTGAAATGGGATAGGGTTTCCTGCTGAGCAGGGGGTTGGACTAGAAGACCTCCGAGGTCCCTTTTCAACTCTGTGGTCCTATATTCTATTCTATATTCTAAAAAAGGCAAGGTCCATCTTGTTTTGGGGAAGGATCCTAGGTAGAGGCAGATGTAGGGTCTCCGGCTTGGGCAGGGGGTTGGACTCGATGATCTGCAAGGCCCCTTCCAACTCTGTTAATCTGTTAAACTCTGTGTGTGTGTGTGTTTGGTGAGGTAAAATAAAATAAGATAAGATAAGATAAGATAAGATAAGATAAGATAAGATAAGATAAGATAAGATGATAAGATAAGATAATAAAATAAAATAATAAATAAAATAAAATAATAAAATAAAATAAAATAAAATAATAAAATAAAATAATAACATAAAATAAAATAATAACATAAAATAAAATAATAACATAAAATAAAATAAAATAATAAAATAAAATAATAAAATAAAATAATAAATAAAATAAAATAATAACATAAAATAAAATAATAAATAAATAAAATAAAATAAATAAAATAATAACATAAAATAAAATAAAATAAAATAATCAATCTTTTATTTTATTGATTAGCCCTTAGGCCATATCAAAGTACAGAGCTCCAGAAACAATTATTACAAGAATTTGGTAGAAACAATTTAAAATAAAATTGGAATAGGAATAAAACATGATTTAAAATGTGTTCATTTTAAATTTCATTTAAAATGAGAGTAAAATACAATCTAGAATGAAATCCGAATAGAATACAATAATTTGAGACACAAATTAAATATGATTAAGATTATATTAGAACGTCACCCCTGCATCTGCCCAATCAGTCTTAAAACTGCTATTAGAATTACATTATTAAGTCAAATGCTCTTTTCTGCAATCTACCCCATTCTGCTATAAAGAAAAGAATAGAATAGAATAGAATAGAATAGAATAGAATAATAAAATAAAATAAAATAAAATAAAATAAAATAAAATAAAATAAAATAAAATATCTCTTTATGTAGGAAAATAGCATGTGGGTCAGATGGCAAAGTTGATTCTTCCTTTCTACCAATAGTCCTCGACTTACAACCGTCAGGCCAGCTGGAATTTTATGACCGTTTTAGCAGTGGTCGTTAAGTAAGCGAACACCACGGTCATTAAGCAAACTCATTGTCCTCAATGGGCATTCCTTGCTGACAAATGCCACTTTCTGACCAAAAACACTGTCAATGGTGGTCGTATGTTGAGGAACATCTTACAAGACCCCACGAATGATGGCCAACCATCTCCCACCCACTCACCCCTAATTAAACCCACTCCCTGATAACTAGCCAGTCACTCCTTTTCGAAGATCCTCACCTAGGTTATAGTTCAAACGCCGAGAACTTGTCGGTCCTGCAGGGAAGAACAGAAAGAGGCGATTTGTCCTTTCCTCAGCAGAAATAATAATAATAATTATTATTATTATGTACTTTATTCATTAAACCTGAAACTCAGTCAACTGAACATTCAAAAATGCATCACAAATACCATTAACTAGCTCTATTACTACTATTATTATTATTATTATTATTATTATTATTATTATTATTATTATTTAATCTTTAGTGAGATTCACAGCCTTTGAGGCTGGTTTATAGCTCAGCAGCTCGAGTCCTAACCAAGGACCTAGAAACTGTTAAGGTTTACTGTTGTTGTTGTTGTTGTTGTTGTTATTATTATTATTATTATTATTATTATTATTATTATTATTATTTAATCTTTAGTGAGATTCACAGCCTTTGAGGCTGGTTAATAGCTCAGCAATTCGAGTCCTAACCAAGGACCTAGGAACTGTTAAGGTATCGTCAGAGGATGTAAGCTGTTCCAAGTAAGGTGGGTTTTTGTAGAGTCAAAATGTTCAAGTTGGGTAAATTTAGAATTTCTAAATAGCGGGGTAGCCCTTTGGGTATTGCTCCGAGGGCTCCAATTACAATCGGGACAACACACGATTTCTTTTTCCACAGCCGCTCGACTTCAATTTGCAAATCCCGGTACTTTGTGAGTTTTTTCTTGCTGCTTATCTTCAATCCGTGCATCACCAGGTATTGCAATGTCAATGAACCATCCTTTTTTCTTTTCAACTATTGTTATGTCAGGTGTGTTGTGGACCAAGTGCCTGTCAGTCTGAATCCTGAAGTCCCACAAGATCTTGAGTTTCTCATTCTCTAACACTTTCTCAACCTGATGTTCCCAGTGGTTTTTTTATATATATTTATATATAATAATAATAATAATATATTATTTTATTATAATATTATAATTATATTATAATTAATTATAATAATTATATATTATTATAATTATAATTATAAAATTAAAATTAATAAAAAATATTATAATAATAATTATATAATATATATATATATATATATATATATATATATATATATATATATTATTATTATTATTATTATTAAATTTATTTTTCACTCATCTCGGGGGTTCAGGGGCCTCTGAGTGACCATTGGCAGGCACCCCTTGTCCCCCAGCTTCAGAGGTGGGACAGTAACCGTCATCCTGGTCCTTGAGAAAAAAAACACACTTGCAAACTGCAAACACACAAACACACCTGAAAACTCACTCACCTGGGCTTAAGGTGGGATCCTTCGATCGGCTGCAAGATGCAAAACAGAACATCAGACAGTTCACCGCTTATCCAACATGATTACTTTCTATTTTTAAATTATCCCGTTTCTGTTTTCCTGTACAGGCAGTCCTCGACTCACGGCGCTGCGTTCAGCGACCGTTCGAAGTCAGAATGGCACTGAAGAACGTGGACTTATGACCGGTCCTCGCACTTACAACCATCAAAGCGTCCTCACGGGGTACGTGGTCTGCGCTGGCGACCTTCCCAGCTGGCTTTCGACAGGCAAAGCCAATGGGGAAGTTGGATTCGCTTAACGACTGTGTGATTTACTTAAGTGGAGCGATTCATTTAACAACCGTGGTAAAAAAGGTCGTAAAATCAGGCGCGGCTCACTTAACGGCTGCTCCGCTTAACGGCGGAAGTTCTAATCCCAATTCTGGTCTTAAGTCTAGGACCGTCTGTATATTGCATTGTCGTCACTTCCTTTTCCTCGCCACAACTTCCCTGTAGGGTAGGCTGAGCTCAGAGAGGAAAAACTGGCTCTAAGTCCTCAGGCTGAGCGGGGATTCGAACTCAGAACTCCCCACTCTGGTTCTTGGGCTGAGTTAAAGGGACGAGCTTGAAATCCACCCGTTTTTCCCTCCACCCACAACAGGACCGGGGCAAATGGGACAGGTAATCCTCACCTTACGACCACAGTTGAGCCCAAAATTTCAGTTGCTAAACAATGCAGATGTTAAGTGAATTTTGCCCCATTTTACGACCTTCCTTGCCACCGTTGTTAACCGTTGACTTTGCTCGTCAGAAGGTCGCAAAAGGGCATCACGAAACCCCAGGACACTGCAACCGTCGTAAATACGAGTCAGTTGCCAAGCGTCCGAATTTGGATCGCGTTGACTGTGGGGATGTTGCAACGGTCGTTAAGTGTGAAAAACGGCCATAAGCCATTTTTTCCCCCCCAGTGCCGTTGTAACTTCAATTGGTCACTAAACGAGCTGTTGTAAGTCAAGGAACTACCTGTATTATATGCGGGCATGTTTTTGTTTTTTTTCCCCTCACTTTTCAAGGCTGCTGGACCGGTTAAAAAGATTTGCGGTTGAAGCTGCTTTCTTCTGTAGGTGCTGTTTGGTCCTGGCCAGTTTGTCAGAGGAGCTGTTCCTTCGCAGCCTGGAAAGGAAAGGAATTCCACATCACGCAAAGGAAGAAGGAAGGAAGGAAAAGAGAAAAAGGGAAAGGAAAGAGAAAGGGAAAGGGAAAGGGAAAGGGAAAGGGAAAGGGAAAGGGAAAGGGAAAGGAAAGGAAAGGAAAGGAAAGGAAAGGAAAGGAAGATAGAAGAAGGGAAGGGAAGGGAAGGAAAGGAAAGGAAAGGAAAGGAAGATAGAAGAAGGGAAGGGAAGGGAAGGAAAGGAAAGGAAAGGAAGATAGAAGAAGGGAAGGGAAGGGAAGGGAAGGGAAGGGAAGGAAAGGAAAGGGAGAGAGGGAGGGAGGGAGAGAGAGGAAAGATAGAAGAAAGGAAAGGAAGATGGAAGAAATGCAAGAAAGGAAAGGAAAGGGAAGGGAAGGGAAGGGAAGGGAAGGGAAGGGAAGGGAAGGGAAGGGAAGGGAAGGATGATAGAAGAAGGGAAGGGAAGGGAAGGGAAGGGAAGGGAAGGGAAGGGAAGGGAAGGAAGATAGAAGAAGGGAAGGGAAGGGAAGGGAAGGATGATAGAAGAAGGGAAGGGAAGGGAAGGATGATAGAAGAAGGGAAGGGAAGGGAAGGAAAGGAAGGGAAGGGAAAGGAAAGGAAAAGAAAGGGAGAGAGGGAGGGAGGGAGAGAGAGGAAAGATAGAAGAAAGGAAGATGGAAGAAATGCAAGAAAGGAAAGGAAAGGAAAGGGAAGGGAAGGGAAGGGAAGGATGATAGAAGAAGGGAAGGGAAGGGAAGAAAGGAAAGGAAAGGAAAGGAAAGGAAAGGAAAGGAAAGGAAAGGAAAGGAAAGGAAAGGAAAGGAAAGGAAAGGAAAGGAAAGGAAAGGAAAGGAAGATAGAAGAAGGGAAGGAAAGAAAGGGAAGGAAAGGAAGGGAAGATAGAAGAAGGGAAGGGAAAGAAGACAGAAGGGAAGGGAAGGAAAGGAAAGGAAACGAAAGGAAAGGAAAAAAAGAGAGTCAGATTTAATGCAAAGGAAGAAGGAAAACATTTAATAGAAAGGGAAGAGTCCGATTTGAGCGAAAGGAAGAAGACAAAAGAAATACCTTGGGAAGGAAAGACAGATGTAATGCAAAGGAAAAAGGAAAAAATAATTAAAAGAAAAAAAAACTGGGGTTTAATGCAAAGGAAAAAAGGAAAACAATGAAAGTTCTTGCTACGATCTTTCTTTTTCCTTCTTCCTTTCCATCAAACCTGACTCTTTTCTTTCTAAGAGTCAGATTTGGTGGAAAGGAAGAAGGAAAAAGAAAGATCATAGCAAGACAAAGACAGATGTAAAGGAAAATAAAGAAAAATAAAAATAAAATAGGAAGCGAAGGATTTAATGCAAAGGAAGAAGGAAAAAGAAATGGAATACAAAAGGAAAGATAGATGTAATGCAAAAAAGAAAAAAAAATAATAGAAAGATTCAGATTTCATGCAGAAGAAAAAGAATTATCATAGCACTTATATACCGCTTCAGAGACATTTCCAGCCCTCTCTAAGCAGTTTACAGAGTCAGCCGTCTTGCCCCTTCAACAATCTGGGTCCTCATTTTAATGACCTCAGAAGGATGGAAGGCTGAGTCAACCTTGAGCCAGGCAGGATCGAACTCATGGCTGTGGCCAAAATTAGCCTGCAATGCTGCATTCTAACCACTGGGAGGGAAGGAAGGAAGGAAGGAAGGAAGGAAGGAAGGAAGGAAGGAAGGAAGGAAGGAAGGAGGGAGATAGATGGGTAGAAGGAAGGAGAGATGGATGGATGGATGGATGGATGGAAGGAAGGAAGGAAGGAGATAGATGGGTAGAAGGAAGGAGAGATGGATGGATGGATGGATGGATGGATGGATGGAAGGAAGGAAGGAAGGAAGGAAGGAGATGGATGGGTAGAAGGAAGGAGAGATGGATGGATGGATGGATGGAAGGAAGGAAGGAAGGAAGGAAGGAGATGGATGGGTAGAAGGAAGGAGAGATGGATGGAAGGAAGGAAGGAAGGAAGGAAGGAAGGAGATGGATGGGTAGAAGGAAGGAGAGATGGATGGAAGGAAGGAAGGAAGGATATCTCCCCCCAACATTTAGATACTCACAGCTCCTTTTTGGTGGCCATCACGTTCTGAACGATGGGGATCGGGGAAGCTCGGGTGCTGCTGCTGTTGCTCCCTTCCAAGGGGGGCTCCGGAGATGGGGAACCCGGCCCTGGAGGCTGACCCCCAAGCCGTGACTGCCCCGGGCTCGTAGGTTTCTCTTTGGTGGCATCTGGCGGAGGTTCTCCAACGTCTTGAGCTTCCTGGAGGCACGGGCTGGATGGAAGTTGGTTGGAGCTGTGGACTTCAGAATTCTCCTGGACCGTTTCTAGCTCGGAAGTCATGTCTTCTGTCTCGGTTAATGGACCGAAGGAGTTCTTGGCCACTCTGAAGGGGCCACCACCGCCGAAAACCTCAGCCAGGTCCATCTCGCCAACGTTTGAAGAGTCCCGAGAGGACTTTCCCCTCGTAGCTGTGGTCTCCTCTGCCTGTTGAAGACCTCCATTGCTAAGAGTTGTTCCCCTGTCTCTCCCCGGCACCCTAAAGTCCTCTGTTTGTGTCCCGACGCTGACCCTTGACCTCTTCTCCGCTTCCAATGCCCGTTCTTCGTGGCTTCCTAATTTGGAGACGAGGGTTGAACTATAAACAGAAAAGAGGATAATAATTCATTTGGGCTCATGGTGGCCTCGAACCCTATTTGGTAAACCCCCCAAAACTAAAACCAAGCTGAAAAACAACTATAAAATTCAGTGATGGGATTTAATTTTTTTTTTACTGCCGGTTCTGTGGGTGTGGCTTGGTGGGCTTGGCTTGGCTTGGTGGGCATGGCAGAGGAAGGATACTGCAAAATCTCCATTTCCATCCCACTCCAGGGGAAGGATACTGTAAAATCTCCATTTCCACGCCACTCGAGGGGAAGGATATTGTAAAATCTCCATTTCCATCCCACTTCAAGGGAAAGGATACTGCAAAATCTCCATTCCCACCCCACTCCAGCGGGAAAGATACTGTAAAATCTCCATTCCCTCCCCACTCCAGGGGGAAGGATACTGTAAAATCTCCAATTCCACCCCACTCTGGGGGAGGATACTGTAAAATCTCCATTCCCACCCCACTTCTGACTTTCCTCGTCAGAAGGTCGCAGAAGGGGATTTTATGACCCCGTCATAAATATGAGTCAGTTGCCGAGAGTCTGAATTTGGACCCCGAGGATGCTGCAACGGTCCTAAGTGTGAAAAAAGGTCCTAAATCACTTTTTTTAAAGTACCATTGTACCGTCGAACAGTCACTAAACGAACCGTCGTACGTCGAGGACTACCTGTATATTATACATATATATTGCGGGAAAGTACCTGGAATTTTTGGAGGCAGCCGGAGGTAGGATCCATTGGGCATCGTTGCTATTGGGAAGTACAGCGGCTTCTTTAGCATCTGCTGCGGAGGAAAATATATATATACTTCTCAGAGTGTTTACAGTGTGACTGCTATTTTGAGATAACCCAGGAGCAAAAATACAGGACACAGAGGTTTGGTCATTACAAACAGTGGTTTATATACAAGACTTCTATATACAGATATACACATGGTAGGCACATACCAGGCAAGCAAGCAATCTTCAACTCTACACAGAGAGCTACAATGCAGATAGAACACCAAGAAGAGAGAGAGAGAGAGAGACGCCCTCTGATGGCCTCCCTTATATAGGCAGCTTCTTAAAGTGGCAATAACCCTGCTGATTCACCCTCAGTCTTAAAGCGGCAGTAACCCTGCTGACTCATCCTGGTCCCCAGCCTTACAGCGGCTGCTCAGCTTTAAATCATCATTACCCTGACAATACTTCAACTCCCAGAATTCCCAAGCCTGCAACTTTTAAGACTTGTGGACTTCAACTCCCAGCTGGCTGAGGAATTCCGGGAGTTGAAGTCCGCAAGTCTTAAAGACTTGGCCAAGTTTGGAGAGCTCTGCTCTAACAACATCTCACCGTCCAACAGGTGCTGTCTGAGCCACGGGATCTGCTGGTCGTAGGCGTTGAGTCTCCGTAGGGCGTCGGCTAAGGCCGATTTCACCAGGGTCAGCTCTTCCTCCTGGCTCCGAAGGCGGGAATCGATGTCGACCAGCCAATCCGGGTGAGAGAAGGCCCTGGTGCAGTTCAAGAGGTTCTCACCTAGGACGGAGAAGAAGGGAAGACCACCGTAATCACCTCAGTAATATTTTTGAGCAGCATACACTAGTTGAGCACAACTAATGACAGCCCCACTCGGTGGTCTAGACAAGGGGTCTTCAAATTTGACTTCAACTCCCAGAATCCCTCAGCCAAAAACTTTAAGACTTATGGACTTCCCAGAATCCCTCAGCCAGAAACTGTAAGACGTGTGGACTTCCCAGAATCCCTCAGCCAGAAACTTAAGACTTATGGACTTCAACTCCCAGAATTCCCCAGCCTCTAACTTTAAGACTTGTGGACTTCCCAGAATCCCTCAGCTAGAAACTTTAAGACTGATGGACTTCCCAGAATCCCTCAGCCAGAAACTTTAAGACTTGTGGACTTCCCAGAATCCCTCAGCTAGAAACTTTAAAACTTATGGACTTCATCTCCCATAATTCTCCAGACTTTAAGACTTGTGGACTTCAACTCCCAGAATTCCCCAGCCTCTAACTTTAAGACTTGTGGACTTCCCAGAATCCCTCAGCCAGAAACTTTAAGACTTATAGACTTCATCTCCCAGAATTCCCCAGCCAGAAACTTTAAGACTTATAGACTTCATCTCCCAGAATTCCCCAGCCAGAAACTTTAAGACTTATAGACTTCAACTCCCAGAATTCCCCAGTCTCCAACTTTAAGACTTGTGGACTTCCCAGAATCTCTCAGCCAGAAACTTTAAGACTTATGGACTTCAACTCCCAGAATTCCCCAGCCAGAAACTTTAAGACTTGTAGACTTCAACTCCCAGAATTCCCCAGTCTCCAACTTTAAGATTCGTGGACTTCCCAGAATCCCTCAGCCAGAAATTTTAAAACTTGTGGACTTCAACCCCCAGAATTCTCCTCTTCCAACCTGGTCTGTTTCCCCCCCCCCCCTTTTACGACATGTCCGTCAGCCTGTGAAAAAGCAGACTGCTGTTTTTTGAATCTCTGCAGGCTTAGCCAAAACGGGCCAACCTGAATAAAATGGAAGGAGTCCAAGCGATAAAGTCATAATCACAATGTGAATAATAAATGGATGCTCGTGCCGAGGGCACCGTCCGACATTTATAAAAGAAGTCCACAATTTTCCAGAGAGAGAGAGAGAGAGAGAGACTAAACAGACCACAAGTGTCAGAGTTTTTCCCTAAGTCAAAACCAAATAAACCTCAAAAAGTCTTTTTTGGGGTTTTGGGATCCACATTTTTAGCCAATTTGGCATCCCACCCTAATTTTGGGGAATTTTAGGCAGCTCAACAATCCGCCCATCGAATCCTTATTATATATATGAAGTGAAGTAAATAAGGATTCGATGGGTGGATTGTTGAGCTGCCTCAATAATATATATATGAAACATATATATATATATATATATGCATATTCTTTCTAGCCAGGTTTTACCTATGTAAACTAAGTTCTTAGTTTACGTAGGTAAAACCTGGCTAGAAAGAATATGCACATAAAAGCCTACGAAAAAGAAAAAGACATATATATATATGTTTTCTGAGGTTTTCGCGGGTGTTTGTATGTAGGTCTTTGGTTATACGCGGGAGAAAACCCGAATAACCAAAGACCTACATATATATATATATATATATATACATATATATATACATATATATATATATATATATATATATATATATATATATATATATATATATATACTCCAAATATTTTTGCCAAAGCTGCAGCACCATGTCTCTAATTAACCCAGCGGGCAGAAATGTTCAGCGGGCCTGTCCTCAAATGCCACCGTCCGCGGAGCAGAGAGGAAGAGGGAGAGGAAAAGGCAGGACTCTGGCCACATGCGAATAACAGAAAGTCCATCCTGTGGGCACTAACTCAGGTTCGGTTGTTCGGCTGTCCGTTGACCGTTGATGTCTTGGCAGGAAATATTTTTTCCGTTAAGAGGTATATTTTGCGAAAGCACCGTCTGTTGTAAAACACAGCCCCTCTCTCCCTCCCCCCCCCCCGCCAAATAGGATAGGATGGGATGGGACAGGACAAGACAGAATGAATGAGATGGAAGGGACCTTGGAGGTCTTCTAGTCCAGCCCCGTGCTCAAGCAGGAGAACCTCTACTATAAATATAGTATAAGGAAAATAGAGGTGAGGTGATTAAGATAGGATAGGATAGGATATAGAATAGAATAGAAAATAGATTAGATTAGATTAGATTAGATTAGATTAGAATAGAATAGAACAGAATAGAATAGAAAATAGAATAGAATAGAATAGAATAGAAAATAGATTAGAATAGAATAGAATAAAATAGAATAGAAAATAGATTAGAATAGAATAGAATAGAATAGAAAATAGATTAGAATAGAATAGAATAGAATAGAATAGAATAGAATAGAATAGAAAATAGATTAGAATAGAATAGAATAGAATAGAATAGAAAATAGAATAGAATAGAATAGAATAGAATAGAATAGAATAGAATAGAATAGAAAATAGAATAGAATAGAATAGAATATAGATTAGAATAGAAAATAGAATAGAATAGAATAAAATAAGAATAGAATAGAATAGAATAGAATAGAAAATAGATTAGAATAGAATAGAATAGAATAGAATAGAAAATAGAATAGAATAGAATAAAATAAGAATAGAATAGAATAGAATAGAATAGAATAGAATAGAATAGAATAAGAATAGAATAGAATAGAAAATAGAATAGAATAGAATAGAATAGAAATTAGATTAGATTAGAATAGAAAATAAAATAAAATAAAATAGAAAATAGAATAGAATAGAAAATAGAATAGAAAAGAAAAGAAAAGAAAAGAAAATAGATTAGAATAGAATAGAATTGTTTAGGATACGATAGGATAGGATAGGATAAAGCCGTGATGGCGAACCTATGGCAGCATGCCAGAGGTAGCACATAGCGCCCTATTGGCACACGAGCTGTCGCCCTAGTTCAGCTCCGCCGTGCATGCCTCCCGCCGGCCAGCTGCTTTGGGTCTCTGCCACGCATGCGTGGGGGGGAGGCGAGGCATGTGGGGGGGGCCACGCACGGCATGCACAGGGGCGCATGCCGTGGCTGCACACATGCGCAGGGGATGGGGCTCATGCACGCGCATTGGGGGTTCGGGATGGGAATGGGGATTTTGCAGTATCCTTCCCCTGCCACGCCCGCCAAGCCACACCCACCAAGCTACACCACGCCCACCAAGTCACACCCACAGAACCGGTAGTAAAAAAAAAAATGAATTCCTCCACTGGATTGAATGGTGAGCCAACTGAAACGGAATCGGACGTCGGACAAGGAAAAACCACATTAGGGCAGACAAAGAAAATCCGATAAAGAAAATATCAGGAAAGCAACCACTGGCAATCGGAGCCAAAACCTGCAGGAATATTCTCGACTGAAGCTTCCCACCCTTTTGACAGTTTGAACCGAATCGGTCAGCCAGGTCACACAAGCTTCTGTGTCACATACCCAGCATGTCGCAATGGAACAAAAGTCAAGAGTGTTTTGGGGTTTTGGTTTTTTTTTTTAAATGAAGAAATTTTTGCTCTTTTTCCTCTGAGCCAAACAGCCCAGCCACCCAAATGCACTTTTAGGAGAAATAAGGCCCTGCGAACAGAGTCAGCTTTGTTTCTTTCTCCTTCGCCCACAAAACTCTCTTTGCGATGATGTCTGGCAAAGCAAAAAAATAAAAAATAAAAATAAAAAGCCATTTCATTCGGTGACCTTCTCACTTCACCCAAAGCTCTTTCAGAGAGAGAGAATAAGAAGAGAAAGAGAGAGAGAGAAGAAAGAAAGAAAGAAAGAAAGAAAGAAAGAAAGAAAGAAAGAAAGAAAGAAAGAAAGAAAGAAAGAAAGAAAGAAATCTTTCTCCTTCGCCCACAAACTCTCTTTGCGATGATGTCTGGCAAAGCAAAAAAATAATTTAAAAAAGCCATTTCATTCGGTGATCTTCTCACTTCACCCAAAGCTCTTTCAGAGAGAGAGAATAAGAAGAGAAAGAGAGAGAGAGAGAGAGACGAAAGAAAGAAAGAAAGAAAGAAAGAAAAAAAGAAAGAAAGGGAGGGAGAAGAAAAAAGAGACGGAAAGAAAGACAAAGACAGCAAGAAAACAAGAGAGAGAAAGAGAGAAGAAACAAGAAAGAAAGAAAAGAAAGAGGAAGGAAAGGAAGAAAGAGGGAGGGAGAAGAAAAAAAGAGAAGGAAAGAAAGACAAAGACAGCAAGAAAACAAGAGAGAGAAAGAGAGAAGAAACAAGAAAGAAAGAAAAGAAAGAGGAAGGAAAGAAAGAAAGAGACAAAGAAAAAGAGAAGAAAACAAAGAAAGAAAAAGACAGCAAGAGAGAGAGAGAGACAGAGAGACAGAGAGAGAAAGAAAGAAAAGAAAGAAAGAAAGAAAGAGGGAGGGAAGGAGGAGAAAGAAAAAAGAGAAGGAAAGAAAGAGAAAGACAGCAAGAAAGCAAGAGAGAGAGAGAGAGAAGAAAGAAAGTAAGAAAGAAAGAAAGAAGGGAGGAAGGGAGGAGAGAGAAAGAAAAAGAAAGAGAAGGAAGGAAAGAAAAAGAGAGAAAGAGAGAAAGAGAAAGAAAGAAGAAGAAGAAAGAAAGAAAGAGGGAGGGAGGAAGGTAAGAGAGAGAGAGAGAAAGAAAAATAGAAGGAAAGAGAAAGAAAGAAAGAAAGAAAGAAAAAGACAGCAAGAAAGAGAGAGAGAAGGAAGGAAGGAAGGAAAGAAGGAAGAAAGGAAGGAAGTGGGAGGGAAGATAGGCTGTTTTGAGCTGAATGACGAATTGAAGAGCTGGTATCAGCCACAAATAAAGCCCTTTGGAAGGCTGAACCCGAGTTCAAATTCTGCGCTCAAATTCACATGAGCCTGGCTGGGGAATTCTGGGAAAAACACCCTAGCTTTCACCGAGGGAGGCTCTTTAAAGCCGCCAGTGCCTTGTGCCCTAAAAATAGGAAACTCAAAACGCGCCTAGTTTACCTTTGGCAACCAGGTGTGGGATGGGCAA